AATAAACAACTAAATACAAATATAATAAAAAAATAAAATCTATCGATGCTTGAGACGCGAATGTGTTCCACAGGGCGGTGGTTGTCGGTCTCGAGGAGGATTTCTTCGTATCGCTGGTTGTGACTCCTCATTGTCATCATCATCACCATCATTGTCGTCGTGAAAAACTACATTAGGTTGATGAGGAGCTGATGACGATGAAGCACTTCCATAGAATAAGGACTCTGGAGGTGTATGACTAACTATCCCACCGGCCTGTGAAAACTGAGAAAACTCATAAAACCCAGACATCGCTGAGTGTGAAAACTATACAGGAGGTGTCTGTGCTGCGACCATGGGTGATGAGGCTGAACCCGCCAAAATGTGAGCATATGAACCCCAAGTCAGATTTACAAATATAGACCCATAATATCCTTCAGGAATGGTCATAAAACTCTGTGACGGTGGCGGCGACGGGATCATAAAACCAGGTGATGGTGGCGGCGATGGAATCGGGTAAGAGAATGGCGGTGGCAACATCACATATGGTTTTGGTATGTAAGTCGTTGTAGATGGTGGCTGATGTGAATGTCTTGTTGGTGCAGCTGAGGATGAACCGGAAGCACTTGCTCTCCGTCCACGAGTGGGGGGACAATGGTGTTGTGTCGGTGAACGTCTCTATCGACGTCGCTGAAAGGTCTGCCCTCGTGCATCATCGGAAAGTAGAAACGATTTCCCATTACTTTTGAACCACTCATAATAACCATCAGCAACCATCAAGAGATCAGTAAAAATGGGCTCTCTACGGGGAAGATGTCGATGTCGATCATCCCACAACACGACCCACTCATGATGTCTCACCAGCCAATTTGTATCAATCTTGCCGCGTCTATCTGTGCTATGCAACTCGTCCATATTGCGAGGTGCTTCCGGAATTGGTTGAAAACAACCAAATTGCCAGAGCATGTGATCAATGGAGTGCCACTCGACGATCGCATAACATATCAAATGAATCATCGCCATCCAAACATCTGATGGGCCCCTCAACTCAGGTGGGATCAACATCCTCACGTCATTATTAGAATATGACACCCATTCAAACTAAAATAAATATATATTTTTTATCAAAATAATAATCTAATTATATAATTATAATCTAAAATCGATTTTTAAACATTAAAATACATACATGTGTGCCAGCCTTCTGATCGATTAACACCCTAATTTTTTTCTAAATCATCAGGTAGCTCCTGATGATTTTTTATATCAGTAGACAACCTATTCAATGGAAAAAAATTATTATACATTGTATAAAATGATTAATATACGAAATCAGTTTTATAATTACCACAATAGTAGCGAAAATACGAATGGGTTCTTGACAACGGGACATAAAAAGGGCAATCGATATCATGCCCAAGACTGAAGCAGCAGGAGACATCCGCCGATAGCATTTTTCATATAGTCAGTGGCTCGCACATCTCCCTGTACAGGAAAGCCAAAACTGTCGAGCCCCAACTGAGTGATCTGGCCAGATGAAAGTCGCCAAGATGTCGCAACCACATACAATGAACTTGGTTGCGCGATTTATCCAGCATCAACAACCCTCCTATTAGCTGCAGTATGCATGCCCGTGCATACATTTTAACTTCATCATCAGAGGTGTCCTCGCTCAACTCCCGAAAATTGGCATATAACCAATTTAACGGTATTCGACCACCGTTAAAACTTTCTGGGACACGTCCTAGATACTCCCGGCACAGCAGTCCATGAACCGTGTGCCATCCCCGATATCACATCTCCATCCACTGAAGCCCCAAGTGCATAGAAACATCTTCAAGTGTAATTGTGCACTCTCCGCACGGAAGATGGAATGTGTGGGTCTCCGGCCTCCACCGGTCCATTAAGGCAGCAATAAGGTCTGGTTCTATCTTACAGTGACCATCATATCTACCTATGTGACCGAATCTAGCCTCTACTAAATACGACAAGACACGACTAGGTATCACTAACTTAAGATTCCTAATAAAAGGATCTAATACACGGTCCTTCTCTTAAAATTAAATAATTACAAAAATTAATTTTTAAACTAATAATCATACATTAAATAAATAAATAAATAAATTATTACTAATAATTTAAATTAAATTAAAACATTAAAATGTTACCGTATCAGTAAAATATCGCGATATATGATTTCTATCCAAGCGAAGTAGACCTCCTTCCATTTTATATATGCAAAAATAATTAATTAAATAAAATATTAAAAAATTTAAATACTGAAATAAATTTAAAATAAAATATTAAATATAATAAATATACTTTAAACAGTTATAAGAGAATATAAGAGTATTTGAGAGAAGTTGAGAGGATTTGGTGTGATGAAGTGATTGAGAATAGGGGTATTTATAGGGAGGGGTGGGGGTGTGAACGGCCGGGGTAGGTGGGTAATTAAACCTAAAGCGCGCCTTTCTGACGCGTGTCAGATTTAAAGGTAAAGCGCGGCCTCTGTCCTGCGCTATATCCCTACGTAGCGCCAGATCAGCGTAAAGCGCGCTGCAGAGGGCACGCCTTACTGGAAAGGGTGTTAGATCGGGAAAAATAATCTGAAGGGTGCCTGACAGGGAAATATATAAGGTATAGGTGATATTTCAAGAAAAATGCCCTGTATTATAGTAAAAATATTTTTAATTTTATGAATATTCACGTAATCTATTGAATATGGATAAACCTTTGATAATTACAATATTAATTAACAAATAAAATAAAATAAAATATTTTATATTTTATATTTGATTTAATATCACTTTCAATTTATAGTTTTTAATTTAATTCTTAATTTGTTTTATATTATTTTCCTAATTTATTTAATGTATTATCATTTTATTATATCGTTATTATTGTCAAAAACTGATATGATCCAAATATAAATTATCGCGTGTAATTAGGGACAAATATGTGTTAGGTCAAGTTAGATTAGGTTTTTATTAACCTAATCTGATCCGAATATTATATCTCTACATTCATCACTTGGCTCGACTAAGTTTAAGGAGGTTTCACCCACTTGAGATTTAACTTCATTTTTAGAGTAAAAACCTACTTCCGTCCTGACACAATTATATATACTATTTATATTCAATAAAGTAATGATATAATTAAAAATATAGATGAAGGGATATCATTGTAATTATTCATAAATATATAAGAGATAATTATACTAATATCTCGTATAAAAAATTCACCCTAAATTTGATTTGACCTTATCTTTTAGAAAACCCGACTAAATCCGATCTAAACCTATTTTTTTTTAGAAAAAAACATTACCATATAAGATTGAATTAGATTAGAAGCCTTGAAACCTATTTCAATATTTTTCTAATTCAATTGGTACCCAAATAATTTATGACATCAATTTAATAAAAGATTTAATATTAATAGAGCATAACAAGCAAAAGATTATTATAATAATGTTTATTACAATTTAAAATATTTTTTTAATCAAGTTGATATCCAATAAATTTGTTACATTAACTTAATTAATACTTAATATTAATAGAGACACTTATGTTTATATAAATATGATACTTATGAAAATTATTTAAAAATATAAGTTTGATATACTAATTATATTAAAACATTTTTATAAATTTTCATTCAAACATTTATAATTTAATATTAAAGTTTAACTTTTAAAAAGAACGTATATCATACGGATAATTTAGTAAAATATGCATCCGAATAATCTAATATTCTTTCAACCAAACAATGTAATATTAAATTCATGCTAAACAAACCAAACAATGTCAACATTCCCGGAGTAATGTTACATTCAAGTAATCTTATTCCCAAATGTAATCTTACATTCCGTGAATCAAACGCCCCATAAGAGTAAAAAGATACAATGGAAGGCTTAAATTCCAAAAGTTAAGAATAATAGAAGGACTAAAACCAAATTAGACCTTAATAATTATTAATTGATCTCATAAAAATTGATTAATTAGTGAAAGTGGATGCAAGCTCAAACCCCCGTCTTACAACATTTAAAAATCATTAAAACCACTTTCTTGGATTCAGCATTCTATGCTTAATTTTGGCTTCAATCCAAACATCGAGTTTGGGTTTTCATTTATTTGTCTCTAATTTGATGTTTGTTTTTTTCTTCCACTTTTATAATTAATTGATTTATTTTTGGTTTTCTCGAACATTAAAATCTCCCCTTTAATACGCATTGTTTTTATGAGTTTTCAGATTTAGGGATTTTAAATAAATAATTTAATTCGTTATAGTGTTTACAAAATTAAACCAGACCGGACCAGACCAGCTTGTCCGTCAAACTGTTGGAACAGTCTAGTCTTCCATGTTTTCTGTGTTTCTAATCCCAACATCTCCACCATTTCTCTTATTTTTTGACTTTTCATTAAGATCCCAATGTTTCGCTTTATGAATCATAACATGCAAATTTATCCACTGTTTTTGTTTGGGCAAATAATGGGTTTAGTCCCTCTATTATGCTAAATTTTGAGATATATACCAATATTTTGACTGCACATAATCTAGTTTATAATGCTGCCAGTTAGTCCAAATAACTAACTATGTTAGTAATTATGGATAAAATGCTAATTAATTTGAGATTTAATCCCCATATTTTAATTTTATATGATTTTGTTTAAATAGTTAACAATGTAAAATGTTAATGTGAATTTTCCTTGAAAGCACACTTTTGGTTTCAAAAAATTCATGTCAACAATTTAAAAGAATAATGAACAAATTTAACTAAAAAATTATCAAATGACCTCAATAAGAATAGATAATATTGTTCTCTCTAAAAAGATCCAAATTCAAACAACTATGGTGAAATATTGTTCTCTAAAAGATCCAAATTCGAACAACTATGTTGACATGGATTGACTAGAGAAAATTAAAGTTTACATTATCAATTGACTAAAGAGAATTTCGAAAAGATACTAATATTAGTCATCCCAAATTATCGATAAGAGAGTGAAGTTTCAACTACATTATTATGAAAGCATAATAAGAGAATCCCTTACAAATGCATTTTTAAAACACATCAAACATCAATGTTCTTTTTCAACAAAAGTACTTGAAGACATTAGACATCCCTAAAGAGGAGCTAAACAAGTCTTTATCTTGTTTTATAAATTCTTCAATGATCCATCCATCCTCACTTTCCCACATCGATCCTGGATCATGCAAATATGCTTAAAGGACCTCTTTTGTTCGACCCTTCTAGCCCGTTATCAGCAGTCCGAATCCCGGGAAGCCAAGACCTGGAAAACCGAAAACCTTCACCGAGTTTGTATAAATTGATTGTTCGCTATCCAACAAGTTTAGAACATTGTTTTTGCGAGTTGGAGTTAGTTTAAAGCTCATTAATGGGGGGGCATGAAGAAATTGTGACTGACCTTCCAACAGCTTCATTGCTTGAATTTATCCTTATTGTTAATCTTTTGGCTGTTTTCATAAATTTACTACAATATACCAAAGATAAGTGAAGATTGGATAAATATAAACCCGAAGAAAAATCGGAACAACGAAAAACAAGATGCATAGAGAATTTTTCGATTTGATACCAGAATGGTTCGTCTCCAGTTTGTTTGACAGCACCCGTCGCATCTCGATACAACACACGGCCCAAAATATCTGATCTTTCTATTCCAAACATGTTAGCCAATCTTCTGTATAGCTGTTCATAAGAGCCAAGAACCGAGAGGTCAAGAGTTCGTCCGACATCCTCCGAATCCATGAATACCTTGCAATGGCTGATTTCGAGGCCGGTTTCCATGCTCCTATAATCCTGGTGCCACAAACATCCAGCAGTAGATGACTTCTCAGGAGACATCAATCGATTCTCAAGAGACGGTCGCAAACCGTCAGAAGAATCTTTTGTTTTGTCGGCATTGCCGTCTGATGAACTCTTCACGTTAATAACTTGTGAGACGGCTTCACTAGAATAACTACGAGAGAGCTGCTGTTCGGTAAGTATAGGCTGACCAAAAAGAAAAAACTGGTGACTTCTGGCATTACCAGATTTCTCCTTCATATTAGAGTTCCCTATTGTTAACAAGCAAGAGATGTTATCTTTACTATTAGGGTGCCTCGCCATCGTGATGCCATCAGAAATTCTAGAGTGCGGATCGAGCCTTGGGAAACTGGACAGAAACAGTCCAGACTGCAGTTTACTATTAAGATGGGGATCGGATAAAGATAATCCGAATTGAGCATGCCTGGCTCCCTGTATGCCTGCAGGAGCGTTATCAGATAAAACTAACGGACTGCCAGTCCCAAGGGGATTGCAACTGCTTGAAAATGCTGACATCAGAAATTGTCCGTTGAAGGGAACATCTGGGTGTTGGGGAAGCCTCGATTTCTTTCTCGGTGGCGAGAATGGCGACAAATGGATGGAGGGCACATTCGATACCAACTCAACCAACCAGGGGCTCACACGTTTAACATTTTGCAGCAAATCTGGTTCATCCCATGTTACCTACAACAATGATTAGCAAAGTCAGGATACTAAAAGGAGAATCAACAATGAAGCCATTCCATCACTTGATTGATTATTAATGCATCGAACAAAGCCGGTTTAGAGAAATCCAATAAAACTCTGTTTAGCATAGCTGTTGGCGTATCTTCTGAGGTCGAAAGCTATTTTCACAGCAAAACCAAACCAAATATTTACTTGGATTAAAGCTAGTTAATTCACCTAATAAAATCCAAGAAAACACAGTTTATACCAAAAGACACCATGATTAAAGGCATGAAAAGGTCAAGTACCAAATGAACATTGCTCAGTAAAAGCTAAAAATAAAGAACCTGAAGAAGCCGCCATGGCGAATTCGGCCATCGAATGGGATCGGCAACTTGAACCGAAGACACAGTTCCTACGAACCAACTAATCCTCGAAGAATCCTCCGTCTCGAATGGCATCTTGAACCTCATACCACTACACCAAGGAACCCTCATTGCCGCCTTCACCGCACTCTCCTTAACACAAAACTCCGGCGTGCTTGCTCTCGGGTAATAAACAACCTCAAACGGCTGACCACTGCCAGCAAGCGCCACCGACTCGGCGACAGCCTCCGCCCTCAGCTTTCCCTTCCCACCAAAACTCGAATTCGCATTCCGGGTCAAAGCCGGAAACCCTCCATAAGGGCTTCCACAGTTACCGTTTTCGGGTCGCTTCGCTCGTCTAATCCCGACACGGAGTTCTCCGTTTTCGGATCTTAAAAACACGATCGAGTCCCCGGCGACGAGTTTTTTGTGGTTCACGAAATTGCTCCACCCGGTGGTCAAGAGATGTCTCCTCGGAGTCCCTCTATAAATATGCCTGAACTTCCACGTCTGGCCATGGACATCCTTGGCTATCACAGTTTGAACCGGAGGGTTGGCGGTGTAATCCAAAGGTGGGAAAATGGTTTCGGCGCAGTATCTCGGGACTGAGAAACCGCCGCCATTGTTGGCATCGGATTGGGTCAATGTCTTAGCGAAAGAAGCAGGCTTTTCAACATTATCGGACCCGTTAGAGCCGACGCCCAAGACGGCATCGTCTTCGAGGTGGAGCTCGGTGTTGGCAAACGGTATTAGGAGGATCTTGGCGAATACCTCGTCTGTTTCAGTATCCGCCATGAATTTGAGGGAAGCCACACGGCAAAAGACAAGGGCTGGGATTCGAGGAGACGACGGGAAATCAACGGCGGAGAGAGAGTGCTCGGCATGGCCTTGAGGAAAGTAGATAACTTTGGAGTTCAATGGTGGAATTTGAACCATGGATCCAGCACATGCATGCCATAGTTGTGGATCTAAGCTCTTCTCTGATTCCTTCATTTCTATTTGGTTTAAGCTGCGGAAACCCCCCCCCCCCAAGAATTGGCTATGAATTTAAGTTTGAAAAATGAAACAAGAACAGAAAACAAAGTGAAACCCACTTCATTAAATTTCTTACCTTTTCTTTTCTTCTGCCTTCTGTTAAAAACCAAACAAAAAACCACACACTTTTTTGTCTTTCCAAAAGAACATCCCCTTTAATGCAAGGCTTTCGTTTTCCTTCTATCACTGTCTTGTCTTGGTTTTTCTCTCCCTTTCTCGCGTGACGATTAAACAGTTGAAAAAGACTGACAAGAGACAGAAAATAGTTTTCAAATTTAAGGGAGAAAAAGAAACAAAGACAACCCCACTGATTCACTCTGAAGAAATAAAGACGCTACTGTAAAAGATGAAAGCTTTGAAAATTTTTGCAGGTTTTTGGAACTGGGTTTCGTTTATTTTAGAGAGAAAACTAAGAACACAAATCATGATGAATAATCAGATAGGGAAACGACCACCATAGCTTACCTTTAGAAGATCTTAAAAAGTTAAAACTGAAGTCTCTCTCTCTCTCTCTCTCTCTCTTGAGTAGAGAACAAGAACAGAACCAACAAAGAGATCCCACACCATACAAAAGAGTTAAAAGCTTTTGTTTTTTAGGATAAAATACAAAGATGGTACTTCAGTTATAGCACATACTTGGTTGAATTTATTGATTATTAAAAATTATACAATGATCATTTAATTATAGAACGTTATTTTATTAAGTTTATTGATTATTAAAAGTTATAAAATAATCATTTGACTATCCATATTATCCATATATTCTAAACTAGTCATTTTTTATTAAAATTTGACGACCATATGAACTAGACGTATTGACTGAGATATTATAAAATCTAATCCTAGAACCGTTTGAGTTGTATTTTACATATTATATCTTCGTTTATATTATGTTATCGAGCCAGAAGTTGAAAACAATGGCAATGCTAGTAGACATTATTAAAATATAATTTTATAATTTCTCAATCAATATGTTAACATCAAATTCAGACGATTATTAATATTTTAAAAAAAATAAATTTAAAATATATGAATAATCGATTAATAATTTTATAAATTTTAATAGTTGAGTTTAACAAAACAAATACCTATAATAGAGGATCATTTATATGTTTTACCCTTGTGTATAATAAAAAGAATAAATAATGCTTTTATATTTCCTTTTTTAGTTTTAATTAAAATATGATTATGACGTTAAAATACAATGTGGCGATACGATATAAAAGGGAAGTAAAATATCGCGACAGAATATGCAGTGGAAAGGGATATCCTATTTTCTTCACTGCGAGAGACTACCAGCGTTGAGTTGAGCAGTTAAAGTGGTCGAGTTATATATATAACAAAGGTCTGATTCTGGTTTTAGTTCCTCAATTATACTGAAATTACAAATTTTATCTTTCTACTTTTTTTTATTACACTTTCGGTCTCCAAGGCTTAGCTGTCACTATTTCGTATTAACCCATGTAGCACATTTGATTTTAGTAGGTGACTCTCCAAATAGAGATTTTTTACATACACAAAATATTAAACTCAATATCTACTTAAATGATATCAAACTGTTTACTATTTGAATCAACCTGATAGATATCTTTCTACTTTAATATAGCATAGTTTCATCATTCTATTTTTATATCCAAAATGATTGTCTTGTAGTTCCTATTGTGAAAGTGATGACATAAAAGAGCCTTAAGCATTTTGTTGATATATTAAAATTAAATTTTCACGAGATATTAATAACTAATGGTATTTTTTATATTAATCAGTTATTTTAAATCGAATACTGCACAGATCTACTATAGAGGTAATTATTTCAAATCAATTCGCTCTATTTATAATATAAGAATATGATCTTTAAAAAAAGAGAAAATAACCTCAGTGACCAAAAATCTTAGATAATATACGATTTTGACCAGCTTTTTTTGGATTTGCGAAAATGACCAACAAAATCGCAATGCGATCTCTAATTCGCATTGCGATCTCCACTATCGCAAATTCACGTTGCATTTCGCATTGCGATAGTTGAAAATCGCGTTGCGTTTTTCCATTTCGTGTTGCGATAGTTGGAGATCGCGTTGCGATTTTCCATTTCGCGTTGCGATAGTTGAAATCGCAACGCGATCTCCATTATCGCAAATTCGCGTTGCATTTCGCGTTGCGATAGTTGAAAATTTCGCGTTGCGATAGTTGAAAATCGCGTGGTTTTCCATTTCGCGTTGCGATAGTTGAAAATCGCGTTGCGATTTTCCATTTCGCGCGATTTTCCATTTCGCGTTGCGATAGTCTACAGTCGCGTTGCGATTTTTCATTTCGCGTTGCGATAGTTGAAATTCGCGTTGCGATTTTCCATTTCCCGTTGCGATAGTCTACAGTTGTCGTTGCGATTTTCCAAATTCGTTGTGATAGTTAAAAAAAAAGATTTTGTTTCTTAAGAATTTTCTCTAAAAAGATAGTATACGCGCGAACGTGTCGAAGACACGTATTACCACGACCACGACCACGACCACGACCACGACCACGACCACGACCACGACCACGACCACGACCACGACCACGACCACGACCACGACCCGACCCGACCCGACCCGACCCGAGACGAGACGGACGGCGGCGGCGGTGCGCGAGAGTCCCCCTTGTTCTCTATCACTCAACAATGAAGTGGGAAAGCCAAGCCTTAAATACCATTCCCAATAGTGTTTCCAATACAATGTGGGATTGAGCATTACCAACACTTGTTTCCAATACAATATGATTATTCAGGAAACAATTAACAATCATGCACCTTAAAACAACTTAATCAACAACCAATTACATTAGTATTATACGATTAAATATGTCATAATTAAAAGTCAATCTACAATCAATCGTGATTATTGTAATTTTAAGCAAAACATTCAAAAATAATATCACTATTTAAGGCTCAATCCCACATAGTATTGGGAACAAGTGTTGGTAATGCTCAAATCCCACATAGTATTGGAAACACTATTGGGAATGATATTTAAGGCTTGGCTTTTCCACTTCCTTGTTGAGTGATAGAGAACAAGGGGGACTCTCGCGCGCCGCCGCCGCTGTCCGTCTCGGGTCGGGTCGGGTCGGGTCGGGTCGTGGTCGTGGTCGTGGTCGTGGTCGTGGTCGTGGTCGTGGTCGTGGTAATACGTGTCTTCGACACGTCCGCGCGGATACTATCTTTTTATAGAAAATTCTTAAGAAACAAAATCTTTTTTTTTACTATCACAACGAATTTGGAAAATCGCAACGACAACTGTAGACTACCGCAACGCGAAATGGAAAATCGCAACGCGACTGTAGACTATCGCAACGCGAAATGGAAAATCGCAACGCGATTTTCAACTATCGCAACGCGAAATGGAAAATCGCAACGCGATTTTCAACTATCGCAACGCGAAATTGCGATAGTGGAGATCGCAATGCGAATTAGAGATCGCATTGCGATTTTGTTGGTCATTTTCGCAAATCCAAAAAAAGTTGGTCAAAATCGTATATTATCTGGGATTTTTGGTCACTGAGGTTATTTTCTCTTAAAAAAATATAGTGAATCATTTCATTAGATCACATGATTTTTGGTGTTATTTTTTATTAATTTATATTAAATACTTGTGTGTTATTGTATTAATAATTGATTTTTCTTTAAAATTAAATATGAAACCCTGACAAAACGTAAGATAAAAATAAAAAAACTTAGGTTCTGTTTGGTTTTAGAAAAATAAGTTATTTTTATTTTTATTTTCTTAAAAAATAGAAAATGTTGAAGAAAACATATTTGATTGTAAAATTAGAAAATGATTTTGAAAAATAAAATAAAAATAAGTGAAAATATGAAAACATTCAAAAAAAAAATGTTTTCAGTATTTCATTAAAAATGCTTTGAAAATTTAAAAAATAAAGAAACATGAGATCTAAATTTTTAATTTAGTTTACATAGGTTTAAATTATTCTAACAATAATTTTTTGATTTAGTATTTTAAACCCTCAAAATTTTACAAAAAAATCAATATGGTCCCTGGACTTTTTTTACACTCAATATAGTCCTTAAATTGAATTTTTTTAATAATTTATTTTTATTATTTTTATATTTAATGTATTGAATATCTTAATAATTGTTTATATTTTATATTTTTAATTTAAATAATTTTTTATTTTTTAAAAAAAATAAACAAGTCCTCAAACTTTCTAAAAAACCAATTACATCATCAAACTTATCCAAAAAATCAATTAAGCCCATCTACCACATCATCATATATCGTGTTGTAACACCCCAACCTGTATCCGACCCGAATACGAATCTGATGTGTCACATTGACTTTTTCAAAACTTTGACTCTTTAAAAATCTGTTAAAAATTTAAACTTTTATTTTGATTTCCGTAGTGAAACTCTCATAAGAAAAGAAAATATTAAAAATCACAATTTACAATAAAAATAAATACTTGATATATATTCATAAACTTAAAATAGCGTACTTACAAAACAGATCAGAGCATAACAATTTAAAGTTTTATAATACATGCCAACAAAATCACAAAATAATAATTAAACCTACAATTCAAATTTGTTATGATTTGTTCTTCTGTAGGAGTATGATGTCCTCTTCTAGCTTTAACCCTCGGATCTCTTTGAATCTACGTGTGAAACAATCACACGCTAAGTCGTTGACTTAGTGAGGCAATAATGAGAGTAATAAAACATTTAAAACACTTGCTTATTCAATTCATACAAAACATTCATATTGAAATCAATATACCTTTCATAAACATAACATATATTGTTATTCATTATTCAATTTATATCATTTTATTATATTAGCCCAATACTGAGAACTCAAGGTATTTGAGTACATTGAGGTTGTACACTAATGCAATCACCACTGCTCATATAATTTGCACAGAAGTGCCACATAGAATTTGTCCCGAAGGACCACGTAGAATTGTCCCAAAGGATCGTGTAAAACCCTCGTCTCTTGGCATGCCAACTATACCTCTAATTCTCATATCACACACATTGTGCTTTAACCATATAATTATTTCAAGTGTGCTTTATCCACGTATAACACATTCACATAGGGTATTTTCAAGTAGGATGTTCTCATTTAGCACATTTTCGCAAAGAACAAATCCATATAAAACATATTCACATACAAATAAAAATCAAATCAATACTTTGAAAATACACTTATATAAAAAACAGAATAAAATATTGCATAAAATAAATAAATTGTTTTTGATCAAAAACTTTGAGGTTGGTTTATCCCAAGCCGTCCTTATATCTAATGTAAAACAATAAATTGCACTCACCTTTGCCTCACGTAAGTCTTAAGCGAAGTCATTTTTCTTTTTGTTCAATCTCGTACTATGTCGATTCCTTCGATACAGTTTCAATCCAAATCTACACATAGATATGTCTAATATCATTACCAACTTTCCATTAATGTATAACCAATTAGCATTTACATAAACGAAACGAAAACTCCCAATTTAAAATTTCAGGCTGAATAGTATCGGTTCTCTACCTATAGTACCGATATTTATCTTCTATGGTATCGATATCTACTTCAGT